CCTCTCTGTAAAAAAATCAGTAAAATATATATATATATTTTTTAAAGAAAAGGAGAGGAAAACACAGAGGGCAAAGTTTAGCAGAAAACATACGCACAAATGGCCTTACTGTAAGCAGGCCAGGCCCATGTGGAAGAAGTAAAATACAAGAGTTTAGTGGTTTCTCTGAAATTGTGACTTTGAGATTATAGTAGTGTTGCTGAAAAGTGATGTTAAAATTACCTTTCAGACCCCTTTTCCCTCCCACATTGCATTATTTTCTTAGTTGAGCTCTGTGAGATAAGTTAAATCAGCGTTTTTCAACCGCTGTTCACCGCGAGATGTTGCCTGGTGTGCCACAGGTGCAGACAAGACAAGAATTTTATAATTTTTCACTATTTTGTTTACTTAATATTTCATAATAAAGTAATTATAAAATACTTTCTTTGTGTTTATTTGATTCCTATTCAAGAGAATTACTTTATATATAGTCAATATAGGCACAGAGTTAAATTTTTTAACATTTTCTAATGGTGGTGTGCCTCGTGATTTTTTTCATGAAACAAGTGTGCCTTTGCCCAAAAAAGGTTGAAAAACACTGAGTTAAATCACTTGTCCATGATCTCTTAGCCAGCAGGTGGCAGAACCAGGATTCAAACTCGGGTCTCTCTGCAGCATTGTACCATGTTCTTACATACAGAATCGGAGTAAGTCTTTTGGAATATGTGGAAACTGAGGCAAGGCAGCTTAAGTGATTTGCTTAAAAGTGGAAGAGCAGTAAGTGTGTGCCCAACACTACTAGGTTCACAGCGTGTTCATGCTTCCTTGATTATGAGCTCTTCAAGCATTCCCAAGCATCCTGGTCGACAGTTTGTCTTCAGCTTTTCTTGGTTTGACACCATGACTTTCCTACAGGGAAGAAAACCGGTTGAGCAGCCAACCCAAGTATTCCAGTCTGCTTTGTGTATTTCTCCCTGAAGATTAATGAGTAATTATCATCTGGTGTGTTTGTTTTTGTTGTTGTTGTTTTTTTGTTTGTTTGTTTTTTTCATAATATACCCAAAGCCATAAAGCTTTATAATAGTGAAGCACGAAATAAAATCAATTCTCCTGATTCTTGAAAAGGGGAGTTGTTTGAAGTGTTTTGGTGGAAATAGGAAGAGTTCTGTTTTTTAAATGTAAATTCTGTAAATCTTCAGAAATGAGTATGTCTAAATATGGCCTTGCAGGTAGGATTTTTTTTTTCTTCCCATTTATGGCTCTCTTTAAAGCAGGTGTGGAGAACATTCAGCACGTGGGCCACATAAAGCCCACGAAATCATTTGGTCTGGCCATACCAAGGCATTAGGGGTGAGTTCATCAGATGTTTGGCCAAAGATAGCAGGCTAGTTTTTAAGTTGATCGTTTTGTACGGCCTGAGAGAGATGTCCTAAATATCCAGTGGCCCTTGGCATAAAAATGGTTCCCCATCCCCACCCCTGTTTGAAAGGGACCAGCGGGCCCCTCCCTATGTCCCTTTTCCTAGGGCTGCCCACATCTCTGAAATCTCTAAAATCAAACCTGCTTAGCTTTTTGCTCATTAGAGGTAGTTTTAGAAAAAAAACGGAAAGAAGAAACTGAACAAATTAAATATTCTTACAGTCTAGCATGTAATTTCTATTAGATTTCAAGATTGTGAACATGTACTAATTTAGAAGGTGGTGTTACTATCCCCCGAAGACATTCTGAAATAGCTAGAACAGCCCTCAGATCTGTTCTTTTTTCCTCAGCCATTAAAGTGTAGATCTATCTCAGGAGGCCCACAGAACCACTCGGTTAAGAAATCCTCCAGTTCACTTTCCACCCTCACTCAGGCATACCTCCCCTTTTCACAGGAGAGGCTTTTTTCAGTATGACAAAAGCAAGTCACCGTCATTATAGAAAATACAGATATTTAAAAAGAAGAAAATTTAAATCGCCCATAATTCCAATTAGTGGATATATTTCAGGGTTGTTGTTTTTTGTTTTTTTTACAAATATATATTTTTAAATAAGTTCATACATTACATACTGTTTTATGACCTGATTTTTCTCATTTAACAGGTCTTAATAGTTTCCTGTGTCATTTAATCTAGAACTGCAATATTATTGCATAGTATTCCATAGTACAGAGTATTTATTTTTAAAACTGTAGCAATAGTTAACATTAGCTATGGAGGTAATACATGCCCGGCACTGTGTTAAGAACATTTCATGCATTATCTCTCAATAGTTCTATGAATTTTAGTTATTAAAGCAAACCAGATCTTTTCACATGTATTCCGAATGCAGACCCTGACGTGGCCAGTGGTGGTCAGGAGAAGTGAGTTCGCCCCGGCCAGCGTGGCTGGTTGAGCATCGTCATCCCGTCACACATTTGATTCCTGGTTAGGGCAACTGCCCACGTTGCAGGTTTGATCCCTGGCCGGGGTGGGTATGTGAAGCAACTGATGAATGTTTTTGTTTTGTTTTGTTTCCTCTCTCTCTCTCTCTCTCTCTCTCTCTCTCTCTCTCTCTCTCTGTCCTTCTCCCTCTCCTTTCCTTTCTCTCTAAAACCAATAAAAACATATTTTTAAAAAGGGAGAAGTTAGTTCACCAGCAGGAACTTGCAGTCCCACATCCCATGTCCCCCGTTCCGTCTTGCTTCAGAGTTGCTTTGAAACCAGTGACGGCATGTCATCACCTACTCTTGTGGTCTTCTATTCATGGGGAACCGTAATGTTTAGACAGTTGTTTGTGCGCTTTTTGAGATGTTGAAATGCAAAATGCTGCCAACGTGGAAAACAGTAGTCACTCCTGGAAGCGCGTCCTGTCGATCGGAGGGTCTCGGCTCCTTTCCCAGTCACCGTGTGCACCTGAGCGTTCTGCTCCAGGGCCGCAGCGCTGGGGAAGCAGGTGAAGTGTAGACACGGACAGTTCCTGTCAGTTTGGGCCTCGCTCCCTGAGCTCATGTAGTCACCTGGGATGCCATTGTTTGGACGGGTCGAATCTCGTAACGTCAGATGGAAAAGGAAGCCTCTTGAATAAGATCAAAGAGAATGAGGGAAACATTACACATAACCAACACGTTAGAATATAAAGTCAGTTCATACTAGACTTTCCATTCTTTCTCCAGTGTCTGATTCTAATTTCCCCCCAGTAAAAACTTAAGAGACCTTTATATCCGGGGCCTCACTGTGAAAACTGCTCAAGACCTCTTGTCTCTGGGCCTTGGTTTTCTAACCTGTAAAGCTGTAAAGCGAAGGGGGAGGTTCCTTCCTGCTTTTTTATGGTTCTGTGTTTATATATATCTGAAGCTTTTAGAGGGTAAATATCTGCTGATTTAAGAAACATTAAGACAAAACATAAAGTCCTTGAGCTTTGTGTGCAGTATGCTTCCTTTAAACAGCTTCTCTCCGTATTTTTTCCTCTCCCCCAGAGCTCTATAAAAACAGTGCTTTCTTGCCAGAGACATCAAGGCCTCAGAACTACTGCCCTCCTTCTATGAACATATTATATGGTTTGCGCTTGGCTTGGGATCTTTTTCACAGACAGCCCCGCTCCATTCCGAGAGGCTGACTCAGCAGAGTTCCTCCGGCTCTTCCCGGTATCGTCGGGATGGGAGTGCCGCCCCTGGCAGCCTCTCTCCTGTGCGGACCCACGGGGAACAGGCCCCACAGCATCGCCTCCTTCTCCATTTTATACACATAGATATATATTCTTTTATTATTATCATTTCAGAGAGGAAGGGAGGGGGAGAAGGAGCGATAGAAACATCAGTGATTGGCTCCTCCTGCACGCCCCCTAGGGGGATCGAGCCCGCCACCCGGGCTTGTGCTCTCGATCTGAATCCAACCCAGACCCTCCAGTCTGCGGGCCAACACTCTCCACTGAGCCAAACCAGCCAGCACCCTTTCTCCATGTTATTGTACATGTTTTCCCTGCTTCTCCTCAGGTTGTTGGAGCTTGAGCAAAGCAGGTCTCATTGTCCGCAGCCCGATTAGAACCCACATCGTCCTCTCAGTGCTGCTCCTCCCCCGCCCTGCCATCCACACAGTCCCAGGGCCTTTTCCTGCCCCTCCCCCGTCACTGTCCTACCCTCTGGCCTGCTCTCGGGTTTGCCAGGGAGCCGCTCTCCTTTTCTGTGATTGAGTCCCAGCAAAGGTTTTAGGAGTAAGGATCTGGATGTTTCATTGTGGAAAATGCCAATAGCATACAGTAGTGGAGAAGTCAGTATCTGAACCTCCTGTTCCCGTCACCCAGCTTCACCAATCTGTCTCATCTGCTCCTTCCAACCCCAGGTTATTTGGAAGCAATCCTCACATCACACATCATTTCTGGTTTCCTTTTTTAAAAACTCCTCCTGTCCGGCTGGTGTCGCTCAGTTGGTTGAGCATCATCCCATGTACTGAAAGGTGGTGGGTTTGATTTTCAGTCAGGGTGCATACCAGGTTGTGGGTTTGATCCCCATTTGGGGTGCATGTGGGAGGCAACCAGTCGATGTGATGTTTCTCTCTTTTCTCTCTCTCTCCCTTTCACAGTTAATTTTAAGAACTCTTCCCAGTTTGCTTGAGTGAAAGGCATAAGTTAACTCTCGTCCAGGTTTCATTTCATTTACCCCAGCACCTTTCTGGTCTCCCAGTCTGCTCAGAGGTGGATGTGCCTCCCTCCCCTCCCAGTCCCTGCTGGTGGAACAGCTGACAGGAGAATAGGATCCAGGCCACCTGCCTGGTACGGGTTTCTGGCCACGTAGATGGGAAGGGAGGCTACTTCAGGCGTGAGGGGGACAGGGATGGAAAACATGCCTGAGTCACACCTCACTGTCAAAGGTAAGGTAGGTGCACTTGTTTTGATTCACAGTCAGCCACTACCAACTGGGAAAGACATGTTCCCTGAAACAAAATGGCAGCCGTGACAGCAAACTGTGGCCTCATTTCCACTCCCCGGGCCCTTTCCTGGGAACAGGTAAGGCTGTCCTCCTGTGAGGCATCTAAAGTCTTGTCCCATCCTGTCTCTGTTTTCAGATGCAGTGGCAGAACGTGGAGCACGTTGGTGACCAGAGCCCCTATGTCACCTCTGTCATTCTTCACATCAAGCAGAACGTGCCCATCATCCGTGACAACCTGGCTTCAACACGGAAATACTTCACTCAGTTCTGCATTAAATTTGCAAAGTAAGTCCCGGAGCGTTCTCATTGCTGGGTTATTTGGGGCCATTGCTCATGATCCAGGTGTCCCCACCTCCGGCTAGGGCTTATTCTGATTTCGGCAGGCAAACTAATTGTTTTGTACCCAAAAAGAAGCATAGTAATGAATCCATTAAAGTCATAGATAACAGTAACAGCAATGCCATCATTGACTACATCAAGGCAAACAGAAATGTGATGAGGGGATCCTGTTATTTGGAATTATGTGGGCATAACCGTGTCCCCACCCCCGGTGTGAATATTAAAATTCTTTTCCAGTGATTTCATATACACATTTTGTCTCTCCCACGAGATTATAAGCTTTTTAAGGGTAGGAACCATGAGTTCTTTTTTTTTCTTTTCTTTTTTTTATATATATTTTATTGATTTTTCACAGAGAGGAAGAGAGAGGGATAGAGAGTTAGAAACATCCATGAGAGAGAATCATTGACCAGCTGCCTCTTGCCCACCCCCTAATGGGGATGTGCCTGCAACCAAGGTACATGCCCTTGACCGGAATCGAACCCGGGACCTTTCAGTTCGCAGGCCGACGACACTCTATCCACTGAGCCAAACCGGTGCCGGCAGGAACCATGAGTTCTGTTCCTTTTGAGTCTTCTCTTCCTCCTTCCTCATAGTAGCTATTACCATTTGGGCTCCAGAACTGACCCACTTGTGGATGTCCTTGAGTCCAGGGAAGGTACTAGAAATTAGGACGGGAGAGTCAGGAAGCAAGCACTAGCTTGTCTTCCTACCACTTCCTGGGGTGCAGCCGTTCCTGGCTTGGTGTGTTGAAGCCGGGAGACAGTTTAGTCAGCGTCTGGCTGCAGCGCTGTTTCCCCCGGGGCCAGATAACGCAGAGGGTCAGCGCCTCCTCTGACCAAGTATCAAGCAAGCACTTGGCAGACTCCTCAGGAGAGGGCTTCGGGACGGTCAGCCCAGGCCGAGCTACTGTATTTGGGCTGTTCTCATCCAAGTCCCACAGGACGATTTAGGACTCCAAGTTTCTGTCCTCCCCAAATCTCTCCCTGTTTGTATTCAATTAAGGCTTTTCTTCTCCCTCACAAACAAACCCCTGAGGAACCACAATTATGGAGTGGTTATGGCGTCAGCTTCAGTCTCCAGTTTGTCAAGAAAAGATCGAGTGGCCTCTCCGGGGAGCATTAATGTTCGCAGCACGGTGACGGACCGGATTGACATTCGCTCCGCTCTCTGGGTGCTCGTTAGTGTGCGTTGAAAGTATGGCTGATAAATCACATGGTGACACCCCGAGGCCCCTGGTAGAAACAGTAGATCTGTGAAAATTTACTGTGGCCAGAAGTCTCCAGTGTGGTCGCATGGGGGTCTGACTGAGCTCACGTTGAGTGCACTTACTCGGCTGGACTCAGAGCCCTTTCATTTTATTGCTGAGCCCATACTGGGTGAGCTGGGAACAGGGCGCCCATCTCCCACATCTGGAAAAGTTTAACCTGCGATCTAGAAAATGGCTTTCTGACATAATCCATGGTACCCTCTCATCCTTCTAGAATCCCGGTAAAAGACTAGAAACCTCAGAGGTGGGGTGTCCCCAGCCAAGAGCAATAGCTGCCACTCCCGCCCCCGCCCCCAGGGGATGGAGAAGCGCTTAGCAGTTACCCACCCCACTGCTGGGACCTTTCCTAAAAAAAATATGTCCCTGGTCTCCCTGTTTTCCCCACCCAACCCAGTAGACTAGCAGGCACAGCCAGTTCAAGAGTACAGCCAAAGCCTACTCTAGGGGAAGGTGACATAGGTTACAAACTCTGTACCATTGCAGTTAGTCATGAATTCAGTCTCACTTTCTCATTTGGCCTGGCTCTGGTTTGAAGAATCCCTTCTAAATAGTCCCTATTCTCTCTCCTGATCAGCCATCTCTGGAGTTTAAGTTCCCTTTAACCTCCTTTCCTGTCCCACCAGTGCAAAGCCATGATGTTTTCTCCTCCTCCATTTGGTCTCTGCAGCAACAGCCTTTCCTGGTTAGACATCGGGATCACACCCCTGAGTCCTAGCTGGTTTGGCTCAGTGGATAGAGCATTGCCCTGTGGACTGAAAGGGTTCCAAGTTCGATTCTGATCAAGGGCACTTGCCTGGGCTGTGGACTCGATCCCCAGAAGAGGGCGTGCAGGAGGCAGCCAGTCAATGATTCTCTCTCATCGTTGATGTTTCTATCACTTTCTCCCTCTTCCTTCCTCTCTGAAATCAATAAAAATGTATTGTTAAAAAAAGAAAGATCACCCCCAATTGAAACTACTAAGTGACTTCTTGTCTGCTAAGCTAATTATTCTCTGTTCAGTAATAGAGATAATAAAACAGATCTCTTTATAGTCATTGGGTGAAATGAGAAGTCAGGTGTAAACTTCCTGATAAGAGTGCTAGTACCAAGCTGACATTCAAAAAGTGGTAGCCACCATTGTTACTATTTAGTATTTATTCAACATGCGTTCAGTTGAGTACCTGATATGACTCAGACACAGAATGAAGTGCTTTGATTTAATAGATGTCATCCCTATTTTCATTTGCCTCACAGTCAAGTAGAGGGAAACAGACATGTGAACAAATAAGTATAATGAAGTAGGTTAGATGTTAGATGAGAGGTCTGTGGTGGAAAGAATCCTGTGACTGAGGAAAGGCTTCCTAGAGGACATGTCCTTACGCCGTGTCCACGAGACCTGTGTGCAGTGACCCACAAGGCCGAGGAGAAGACTGCTCCAGGCAGCGGGGGTGGTGTGAGCACCGGCACAGGGGCAGTAAGTAGCCGGAGAACTGGGATCTGCAGGTAGGTCAGCCAGTTGAGGCGTAGGGTGCTTAGCATGATGAGGCTGGAGACAGTCTAGACAACCAGGAAGGCCTTGTCTGCAGCCCTGCAAGAGTTTTCATCAGAGGAAGGTCTTGGTCAGATTTGCATTTGAAATAAATCCCTTTGGCAGAAGATGGATTAGGAAGGATGGGGCTGAAGGCTGGGAGACCAGTTAGGAAACAGTGGAAAGAGCTCCAGTGAGAAAGGGCAGCAGCAGTGGGAGTGGTCGGAGGGTGGATGTGGGAGTTCAGGGAAGAGCTGGTAGCTGATTGGATATGGGGGTTGAGGGCAGGGGAGCTGTCTCATAGTGCTCGCTCGGTTTCTGGCTTGCGCGAGTGAGTAGATGAGATCCAGTCTGCTGAGCCTGGATTCCGGGGCGGGGCTGTGTTGTGGATGTGCTGGGGTTGAGGTGTCACTGGGCCATTCAGTGGGATGTCCGGTAAGTCATTAGATACTAGAGTGGACACAAGTGGACAGGAAAAGCTGTAGAGAGATCGGAGAGGAAGGAAGTCACAAGTCTGAGCAAGATTTGAAGAGGGAGAAGAGAGGTGCTAGCCAGCCTTTGTCTTGACCTACAAATCCTGCTTTGTTGCCATTGGCCTCCTTTGGTTATGGGTAAGGTGACCAGACGTTCTGCTTTTGGCAGGACAGTCCCGATTTTTAACAATTTGTCCCGCGGCATTTTTAAAAAGTCCCGACTTTCCAAAAATCGGGACTTTTTTAAAATGCCGCGGGACAAATTGTTAAAAATCGGGACTGTCCCCCGCCAAAAGCAGAACGTCTGGTCACCTTAGTTATGGGCCCTATGACACCTCCAGCTCTGTCACTCTGGACCTGGCCTTGGTATAAGCATTTCTAATTTGCACACTTTCCATTCTGCACCAGCACAACCAGCTTTTCCTACTCAGGCCTCTGCAGTTTTTTCTTAAAAGCCCCCCTGACCTATTAAAATTTCATTGTCTTTTTCCCCAAACAAGCATCATTATTAGTTCAGTTGACTCAGGTTGCCCTTCAATTCCCAGTAAAAGGGGGGAGATCAGATATTCCATTCCTGATCTGACAGCTACTCCCCTAACAATCATTTCCTATTTTTGCATTTAAGATCCCATAGCTACCTCATGTATATGGCACTCTCATATCTGTTAGGATGTTTTCAGTTACCGGTAATAGAAGCCCTGACTCGAACTGACACATACAGAAGGTCAACTTTCCATTCCGTATGAATGCAAGGACGGTTGGGTCAGTGGCTCATTAAGGACCCAGGTTCTTGACCCTCCTCTGCTCTCCTTGGTTGGCTTCATCTTCAGAATAGCAAAATGGCTGCTTCTATAACCAAATACAGGGATACCCTCAAGAAGGAGAGAGTCTTGCCTCAGCCATGCAGTAAAGCCCTTCCCTCCAGTCTGGCTGGGCCGGCCTAGATCATGTTTCCATCTCAGTACAACAGCAGTTACCAGGGGAATCCCGCACTCTGACTGGCGGAGGCTCGCTAGAATCCAGCTCTGTCGTTGAGGAGGGATCAGCTTTCCCCTGGCATCCCAAGGCCCTGGGTGCCTACCCAGAGCCAGGGCTTTGGCTGGGGAGAAAAGGAAAGCAATGGATGCTGGTAGGCCACAGCCTTGTCTATTTACTTCTCAGTTCCCTGGTGGAAGGAAGTGGGGCCTGGAAATTTTTTCCCTACACTTCTTTACAGAAGACAGAATAAACCTAATTTGCCTCTTCTCTTTTATCCACAGCTCCTTCATTCCCAAGTTCATCACCCACCTCTTCAAGTGCAAGCCAATTAGCATGGTGGGAGCAGAACAGGTGAGATGAAATTGGTGTAGGGTCTTTCTTTCTGGCTTTGGTTGTCGATCAAACATATATCTTCCTAGTACAGAGCTGCTCTGGAGAAATGAAATTGCTAGTTTCCCCTAGTTGGGCATTGATAGATTAATTCACTCATCTGTTTATTTAAAAAAAATTGTTGAGCACCTACCAAGTACCAGGCATTGTTCTAGGTAAAGGGTTAATGCCATAGTGAGCAAGACAGAAAAGATCTCACCTTTATATTACATTCTAGTTAGAAAGACAGATAATACACAATTAAACAAGAAATTAGAAGATAAGTACGCTAAAGGGTATAAATCTAAGTTATGTGAAAGAATATTTCAGCATTGGATGATCAGAGACGGCTCCCCTGAGAGCTGGGGCGGGAGAAGGACGAGGAAAAGTCCGCCGGAGGGAGCAGCAGATGCTTCGATGGTTTTGGATTCCGTGGCTGGGGCCAAGACCACTTGAGAGTAGCAGAGAAAGGCTTATCTCTCTGGCACTGAGAAACTGTCCACCTACCCCAGGAAGCCTTCCTTGATTAGCCCCACTCCATTCACCTGGGTTCTGCGCCTCAAGACACCTCTTCATAGGCTGTATCAGTTCACACTAATGAACTGAGTTACAGGCTACAGCAAAGTCACCTCTCTCGGCTCCCACCTCCTCAGATTGCCCGAAGTGTGAGCCGTTTGAGTTCAGAGAGCAGTTTAAGCTACTTTCAAAGAAACAATAATATTCAGCCCCTAATTCTCCAAAAAGTATCTTCTTACATACACACTAATCACCATAAGTGATTCTGATATATTCATTGAAATAAGTAAGTCCTCTCCTGGTCTCTACCTAGCAATACTTGGTGAACCTATTTCAGTTACTTTTTTTTTATATTTGAAAGAACTCAAAATACATTCTTAAGTAAGAAGGTTATATAATTCAAGCCATTTCTAGAACGCCTGCTCTTCCATCACCTTGGTAGAGGCTCGCCCCTCTCCCAGCTCAGTGACTTCCCCTCACACCGGGCTCTTGGCTGTGCTGGTCCGGCATGCGTCAGGAAGACGGCAAATCGGCATGTGCCCCAGGGCATCATGGGTCTCTCATGAAGCATCAAAGCCAGAGATGTGATCTCTGTGAATGTCAGGCATCTCTCGAAACTGACAAGTGCAGTGTGTTTCTGAACTCTTTGTGAGTGAGTGGCCTTCCTTGGTTATGAAAAGGCGGGATGGTGTGAGTATTAAGGTCATGAGCGCCAGAATCACAGAGGTCACAGAGAATTCCCTCTGTAGCGTAGCAGCTGCTTGTCCTCCGGCGAGTTTCTGAACCTCCCAGCACGTTAGTGTCCTCATCTACAAGATGGGGATAATCCTAGTGCCATCTCCCAGGGCGGCTACAGGGATCACACAGGTAACGCACCCAAAGTGCACTGACCAGTGTCTGGCCCAGGACAAGCCCTCCCAAATGCCAGCTCTCACTACGTTACGCTTCCTCAGGCCAGGGCATGACTTTGTTTCTGCTTTCCCTTCCCACCTCCCTGCAGAGGAGCATCCAGCCAATGTTTGCTGGCTGGCTGCTGGCCAGCTTTGACCAAAGTCAAAAATATAAAGGGGTGGCTAAAAAAGGTTTACTGTTGTAATACAGTAATTAATAAATGATAACACAAGAATAAACTTTTATGTACTCAAAACTGTAAACCTACGTTTGCTCCACCCAGTATTGTCTCAGAAAAATGTCCTGGGAGGTTCCTACACTGACTGTGTCTGTAGCATGTCAGTGACTCTTGCATGTCATAAGCATAGAACTAATTCTCCCCATTAGAATCAGCAGCCTAATGGCCCTACATGTTGTCTCATTAGCACATGTTTCATTAGCTCATGTTGACTGGGAGTTGGTTCTGCTCACCTCACTGTGGTGTGTGATCAGAGAGGATGCTGAGCGATTAGGCCGGTGTATCTGGAAGAAGCTTCAGCATTCTCAGTTACTGGGCTTCTGGCTCAGACATGATGAAGCCACTGGGACACATTTGACTTGCTGGGAACATGTTTCCAGGGAGAGCTTCTTTGCCCAGGCCTCGCTAGCTGATTTAGTGTCTGATAACCCTGGTATTTTCATATCGTCACATAAATCCAATATCATATCTATTTTTCCCAGACTTTCTCTTCTTTAAAGGGTATGTTAAAATAATCAGCTCAGATTCAAAGCTCATATCTTAGAAAAATATCAATTTAGCCAGTCTGGACTCCTGCTTTGAGATATGAATGAGAAAACCATCTGTGAAAGTGGAGTTTTACTTTCTCAGACCAATATGAGTGGGTGGTGAGGAGCATGGACCTCACCAGGCCCAGCCTGGGGGAGGGCGTGGGTGGGGACGGAAGGGCAGCGAGGTCCTCGGAGGAGTCCAGTGGAAAGTTCAGGTTTAGCTGGGTCCACGCTGGCCCTGAATGTCTGGGCTTCAAAATCCAAGCAGCCATGTAGCCGGAGGTCTGATCAGCCACTCAGGCAGCAGAAGCATAGGGATCAAGAAGTTACAAGGAGATGTTCAAAGGCTGAAACCTCTGCCTCAGGTCTTGTAGTAGCTGGAATCCAAGCTTTAATAAAAGCTGTGGAAAGCAAAGCTAAGGTTTAGCCCAGCCTCCGCTGCCTCTGCTTCCCCACACAGGCACTAGATCCTAACTGTAGATTCTACTTTAATACTTCAGCTGAAAATAGGGACGGAGACCCTTCCCTCCTCTTTCTTCTCTCCCTGATGACTGTATAAAGTGAATTCTTTATCTGGGGCCCGGGAGCCCTCTTGAGCAATTGTAAGGGCATGTAGAACTGAACCAGACTGGTATTTATGATGCTTCGTGCTAGTTGTGATTTGCAGAGAATCTTGTGGGATTTGCAGGGTCATTACTTAGTCTTATGGCCATGGTATCTATAACTGAGTGCACAGCAGAAATGGAATCCATTCAAAAAACTTACCATAGAGGAAGCAGCACTGGATGGTGTAGGGAAGAGAACGCTGAGACTTGGGGCCAGTGTTCCCTCTGCTGTCAATGGTCCCTTTGATCCCCATTCTGTCCTCCCCCACCTCCTTGCGAACACCATTCTGCTTTCTGACTGTGACTGTGACTGCTCTAGGAGCCTCATAGAATGTCTGTCCTATGGTGTCTGGCTTATTTCACTTAGCATGTCATCAGGGTTTATCCATGTTGTAATATGTTTCAGAATTTTTTTTATGGCTGAATAATATTTCATTTTGATCATACTTTTAAATTCATGTAATTCAAAACCATTTGAAAAAAAATATGATTAAAAATATATGTTTAGAGAAATTTTTAGGCTTTTTAAAAAATATATTTTATTGATTTTTTTACAGAGAGGAAGAGAGAGGGATAGAGAGTTAGAAACATCCATGAGAGAGAATCATCGATCAGCTGCCTTTTGCCCACCCCCTAATGGGGATGTGCCTGCAACCAAGGTACATGCCCCTGACCGGAATCAAACCTGGGACCTTTCAGTCCACAGACCGACGCTCTACCACTGAGCCAAACCGGCTTCGGCTCCCATGATGTTTTTAAATATAATCATTGATTTTTCTTATCAACAAAAGAAATGTTTCCAGTTAACAAAACTATAGAAAATGTTAAGCCTGCCAGCTCACCACTCAGTCAGATCTTAATATGCTCCCACATTTGCTCTAAATTTGTTTTATATAAAGAAAATCACTACCGTTATTGCTGAAGCCCCCTGGGGACCCTGTCCTGTATTCCCCTCCCTCCACACCCAGAGGTAGTCTCTTCCGATTTTGATCATTCCCATATGTGTTTTGATATGTTACATGTATATTCACAAATGATATTTAATTTTGTTGTACATATATTTGAACTTTATAAAAATGGTACTTTGTATATCTTTTCCCCACTTGCTTTGTTTTGCCCAACATAATGTTTGTTGAGGTTTATCCATATTGATATTTGTTGTTTGAGTTCACTCATTTTGACTCCAGTATCATACTCCAGTTCCTGAATGTGCCACCATTTGTTTATCCATTCTACAGTTGATGGATATTTAGGTTATTTCCAATCTTTTGCTTTTACAAACAGTGAATGCAGGAAACATTTTTTAAAATGGGCAAGAATTTCTCTAAAGGATGGAGTGCTGTGTTGTGGGTTATACACAGCTTTAAATTGTGTGTGTGTGTGTGTGTGTTACTGAATTTTACCCTAAGTGCTTTAATTAATTTATACTGTCACTGTAGTATGAATTTTCTTATACTATGTCTATGCCAACACTTGGTATTATCAGCCTTTTTACTTTTGCCTATCTGATGAGTATGAAATGGTATACAATTGTGGTTTTAATTTGCACTTATTGGATTATTGATAAGGTTGACTATTATTTCACGTGCCTTGTGAACACCTGAGTTTCTGCTCTTGTGAATTGCCTATTCAGATCTTTGTCCCACTATTGCTGTTACTGTTGCTTTTGGGTTTGCTAAAATCTGTGTGTGTCTTGAATATTTTTCTTTGCCAGCATTGCAGATAACTATCTCCCGTTTTTTGCTTTTACTTTGTTTATGTATATTTTGATACAGACTTATTTTAAGTAGATTTTTCTGTCTTTCCCTGTGTTTCACATTCTTCTCTACCCATAGTAATAAAAATAATCTCTTATTTTCTTCTTAAAGTTTGTCTTTTTATATCTAAGTGCTTGATCTACCTGGAATTTAGCTTACTCATTCTTTCCTTTTTATTTATTTATTTCTTAGTATATTTTTATTGATTTCAGAGAGGAAAAGAGAGAGAATCATTGATCAGCTGGCTCCTGCACACCCCACACTGGGGATTGTGGTCTTTCTACTGTCTCCATAGTTTTGCCTTTTCCAGGATGTCCTAGTTGGAATCATACAGTATGTAGCCTTTTCAGATTGGCTTCTTTCATGTAGCAACATGCATTTAAGATTCCTCCATGTCTTTCCATGACTTCATAGCTCCTTTTTTTTTTTTAAGAGCAGAATAATATTCTGTTTTCTGGATATACCACAATTTATCCTTTCAGCTACTGAAGGACATCTTGGTTCTGGCAATTACGAATAAAGCTGTTAAAAACCTGCATGTGCAGATTTTCTGTGGATATAAGTTTTCAACTCCTTTGAGTCTCTGCCTCAGAGCAGGAGAGCAGGATCGTCCTCTATCAGATGTGCCTTTTGCAAATTTGTCCTGGTCTGTAGCTTGCCTTCTTCTTCCCTCAACAATGTCTTTTGCAAAGCATAAATTTTTCATTTTAGTGAGGTCCAGCCTATCAATTATTTCTTTCATGGGTCATGGCTTTGAGGGCATGTCTAAGAAGTCATCACCATACCCAGGGTCATCTAGGTTTTCTCCTCTGTGATCCATTTTGAATTAGTTTTTGTGAAGAGTGCAAGATGTTATTTTTTCTTTTCCTTTTCTTTTTTTGCATGTAGTTGTCCGGTTGTTCCTGGAGCAAACGCTGGAAAGACTGCTCCATTGTGTCGCCTTGCTCCTTCGTGAAAGATTAGTGACTACATTAGCGTGGGTCTATTTCTGGGCTCTCTGTTCGGCTCTGTTGATCCATTTGTCTCTTTTTTCACCAATCCCATACTGTCTTACATACTTTACCTCTATAATAAGTCTTGAAGTCAGGGTAATGTCAGTTCTCCCAACTTTGTTCTTCTCCTTCAGTACTGTATTGACTTTTGGGGTCTTTTGTATCTCCATATAAACTTTAGAATCAGCTTTTCAATATATCACCATATTTTGAGAGTAATATTTCCATTTAAGTTACTCCAAGTAAAACATTAATATGCTCTCCAAATTTTATACTATTCTCAAAATTATAATCACCATGACCATAGTGTCTACCTTTAGTCATCAGTTCTCCTGTCTGTAAGAAAATGCAGGGTGAATGAGCACATGTGAGTGTCCTACGGCCAGGGGTCCCCTTTCATTCCTGCTTGGTATTAGTTTGCAGCCTTTCCTGGAGGAGCTGATAGAGCGCATGGAGCAGGTCTTGTCCTGAACATGAGATTGACCATCAGAGTTGTGGTGGTGGTGATGGGACTGTCACCCCATTGTCTGGTTGGTGGGCATGCAATTCCATTCTCCTAGACTACTTGAACAGGCAAGAGTGTATTAGGCTTCAGCCATTGCAGTGCTGCCAGGTTGCCAAGAGCAGCAGCAGGTGAGCAGTACACCTGTCATGGCAGGAAACAGTACAAGGTCCAAGCCAGTGCTGCCCTGAGACACCTAACCTAGCAGCTGGGGAGGGAGCAAGACCCCGCCCATCCTTCGAGATACCCTTAGAAATTATTTAACCTCTGGGCCTTTGGTTTCTTATCTATAAAATGGGAATAGTAAATGCCTACAGGCCAGGGTCTTCTAAGGACTAAATTAGGCAAAACATTCCTAGCATCTTTCCTAGCAATTGATGAGCAATCAGGAAAGTTGACCTCCTTCCAAACAATTAGCATTGAGGAGGACAACAATAAAAAAAAAAAAAAGGGCAGATTGTTCTAAGAGACTAATGTTTAAAGTTGGCTTACTCTCCTACATCCTCACTGTCCTTCAGAGAAATTCAAAATACAGCAATTTTTGTCTGTTGAATAAGCAAGATTTTTATGAGTTTTCTGTGCCAGGGCGGGTGAGTCTGCACCCCTGGCAGATGTAAACAGGTACATTCCATTGGGAAAGTAGTTCAAGATATGTATCAAGAACCTCAAAAATGTTCTTATCCTTTGATCTGTCCCAATGACTCTCTCCTAAAGAAATGCTATTGATAGACCGGGAATTTTATGTAAAAAGCCATTCAGCCAGGACCGGTTTAGCTCAGTGGATAGAGTGTCGGCCTGCGGACTGAAAGGTCCCGGGTTCGATTCCGGTCAAGGGCATGTACCTTGGTTGCGGGCACATCCCCAGTGGGGGGGTGCAAGAGGCAGCTGATGGATGATTCTCTCTCATTGATGTTTCTAACTCTCTGTCCCTCTCAATTCCTCTCTGTGTAAAATCAATAAAATATTTAAAAAAAAAAAAAAGCCATTCAGCACAGCATTTATTATTTATAATGAAAATCTAGAAACAATTTATAGGGGAATGGTTAAATATGTTGAAGTTACACAGAGAGAGTACTCTATAACCATTATAAATCACAATATTCAAAGACTGTTAAGATGGGAAAATAGAATTCAAAAACTTCATATACTGAGTGGAAAAGACAGATCATAAAATGATGTACAATATAATTTTCGTTTTTTTATACATACATACAGACTGGTAGGAATTATACCACATTGTTACTGTGGCTTCTTGTTACTTTTTTCCTGGGTAATAGGAATTATAACTAACGTGTTTCCTTTTATATTTGTTTATTTTCCAAATTTTCTCCAGTGAGGATGTATTACATTTAAAATCAGGAAAATGTCCTTAATCGGCATGGGTACACAGGACGTTGCTGTCCACAGGAAGTGACTGGTAATTTCTGCTTTGCTCCCTCAGCTGCTGCTGGACACCCATTCCCTGAAGATGGTCCTGCTCGACCTGCCTTCCATTGGCTCCCAGGTGGTGAGGAAAGCACCTGCCAGTTACACCAAGATTGTTGTGAAAGGCATGACCCGGGCCGAGATGATCCTCAAGGTGGGCCTGTGTTTCCTTGTCAAAGAGGGCCGGCTGCCTGGTTGCTTATTCCAAGGAGTGTCCTGGTTTTGAAAGCACAGATCAGCGCCTATCCCCGCCAGTCCCAAAGGGTTGTCCGCATTCTTTGGCGGGACTGGGGTTTGGCCTCATCAGACATTGTTGAAAATCAGTGGACAGTTCCTCGGGGGTCAGTAAATCTTCTTGACAAATGAATTCTTCATTGTAATGGGATTCCCTTGTAGTAAGATTTGGCCACAATTGGAAGTTAGGTGGGGCGTCTGTGAGAATCGGTGTCTCAGTCAGGGGTCTCTTTGCTGCTCAGCGGGAATTTCCAGCCCGGCTCTCAGTTACTCCCTTTCACGTAAGCCCTTTGCTTTCCAAACTCTGCAGCTTCACAAGAACTCCGAGCAGATGTTTCAGTAACTGACTGATCAGCGAATGGGTTTTCTAAAGCCCCACTTCACAGAATAGTATATGTGGGGTGATGTTGCGAATGGCTGAAGCCTTACGCATCTGCGTCAGATTTTCACCTGTACCTGCTGAGAAGAGAGGGAAGAAAACTGCAGAACAAACGGAACTGTCAGGGAACGCCCCTAAGATTCTAGGGCCTGCGGGCTCCAGGTCTGCCTCCCGAACAGAAGGGCTCCGATGGCAGCGGGAGGGAAAGCAGCAGCGGGGCCTGAGACAGCAGAGGTGAGGAGGAGAGGGCCCTGTAGGACCGGAGCTTCTGGCCCAGGAATGGGAGGCGCCTGATCACCATCTCCTGCCGCTGGTTAGCTCCCAGGGGCAGGGCAGAGCCTGCAAATTACCTGCAGAGGATTTCTTTCTCCTCATTTTTTTTTAGCTTTTTGCAAATAACATATATGTTCTCCATGTTTCCTGAGTATAATAAAATGTCACCCTCAGTGAATTTGTACCTTAGGCACAAATATTTATAAAATAATGAACACCAGTTCCCCCAGATTAGCGTGAGAGCGGACACATGCTGAAGCAATCTTGGTTTTATTCCCTGACAGAAAAACAATCCCGAGTATTTCTTAATGGCTAAAAAAGAAAGTCATTCAAGTCTCATGTTTATTAAAAAAATGTGACTTTATCTTTGCTTCATGAATTTTGTACTTTGAAACGGGGGGATGACATTGAGACGTTTCTGCAGAGTGTCTGAGTGAACTACTCCTTGCCGCTCGGGGTTCCATGCCCAGGAATCCAAAGCAAAGCCAGTCTGCCGGAGGAAGAGAGCCAGACACTGCGTTTCCAAACTGAGTGGAAATGCGTGCGCGGCCTGGGATGCCATGACTTCCCTTCGGCTTGCCTATTACTCGGATGTGGTTAAACGAAGTTCCAGACTTAAGTCCTGACGAGAACGAGGCAGCTTTGGGGTTTTTGTTTTTGAGAGAAATCTACTAAGTCAGTGCCTTTTGTTTCCAGCCTCAGGAACAATGATATGTCAAGACACAAGGAGCAGGTACCACAAAGCCACAGAATGTCTCTAACAGTGTTTCCCAGATGGTCCTGACATTTAGAAACGTCATCTGGGACCTCCCCCAGGCCCTCAGAATCTTCAGAGGAGGGGCTCAGGGGTCTGCGCTGAAAAAGCCGTCTAGCCCTAGCCGGTTTGGCTCAGTGGATAGAGCGTCGGCCTGCAGACTCAAGGGCCCCAGGTTGGATCCCGGTCAAGATCACGTTCCCCGGTTGTAGGCTCGATTCCCAGTAGGGGGCATGCAGAAGGCAGCTGATCAATGATTCTCTCACCATTGATGTTTCTATCTCTCCCTCTCCCTTCCTCTCTGAAATCAAAATATTTATTATTTTTTTTTTTTTTTAAAGAGCAGTCTAGGTGTTTGTGACTGAGCACCTTTAGGGAACGTTGGTCTGACCTGCTGAGCTGAAATAGGCCATCAGGACGTTCTGCGTTGAGGCTGCTGCTGTCAGGGTATCTTGCCGAGTCCACTTTGTGGTCGGCTTGCAGGTGAGACCTGCCCTCCGGCCTGAGCGTCCCCTGAGCTGCTCTCGTCTCGCCCTCGCAGGTGGTGATGGCCCCTCACGAACCCTCAGTGGTGTTTGTGGACAACTACATCAAGCTCCTCACAGACTGCAGCACAGAAACCTTCCAGAAGATACTGGACATGAAGGTCAGTTCAGGGTCATGCGTTGTCCACATGCACAGCCTCCTCACACCCGTGGTTCTTAATGGGGGGTGAGATGAGCACCCGGGAGCTCAGAGTGCCCCCACCCGGCCCCGTGCTGCAAGCCACACGCCAAGAGGCCTTTTAAGGAGAACTTCCCAATGGCCAGCGAGGACCACTGCTCAGTGGAAGGAATGGACCGAAGGGGAGTATTACCTCCCCCCTGCTTACCTGTCCTTCCTTCTCTCTCCGCCGCCTCTTTCTCCTGCCCTCGTACCTGCTTTCTTCCCCTGCTTCCCTCCCCGCTACTGCCCAGGACTGGTGACTCCCCGGGAGGAGAGTGTAAACCCTCAGCCCCCAGAACAGTGACTGGAGTTCTCAGCCCTCGGCTAAGGGCATCCCAGATGCTGCACTGGCCCCTCCGCCTTCCTGGGCCCGACCTCACCTTGTCCTCCTTTCTCTCACCCTCAGGGGCTGAAGAGGAGCGAGCAGAGCAGCATGCTGGAGCTCTTCCGCCAGAGGCTCCCCACCCCGCCCGCAGGGCCCGAAGCCGCCAGCTCCCTGTCCCTGCTGGCCCCCACCCCGGAGCAGGAGTCCTCCCGCATCCGCAAGCTGGAGAAGCTGATTAAAAAGAGGCTGTAGGAGCACAGCCAGTGACCCTCAGCACCGGCTCCTGGAAGCCCCGCCTCTCCCGCGCTCAGCCTGACTCTCAGCGGCCCGTCTGGAAACTTCCTGGGTCCTTTGGGTTGCTGGTGTGTGTCTTACGTCCTGTCCTAATCGGAGAAGGCAGTCTCGGCGGCTCCCGGTCCTGCCGCAGAGGCGGGCTGGGTGAGCGGCCCTGCCCGTCACTGTGGTTTCTGGGCTGTTCTCACTGTCCGCTGTCACGGACTCCGGGCCTCCCTCTGCAGCCACACCCTGGGCGAGGGGCCCTCTTCCCCATGTCACCCGTCCAGGCAGCTTCGGTGGCAGAGCCTGGACCCCCGCCTCCCTCCGTCCGCTGCTGTCTGGGCGGCTCTGGGGCCGGGCGAATGACGTGGCGGGGGCAGGGGTGGGAAACGCCTTTCTTTGTGAAGGAGGTGTCCGTGTGAATCCCAGTTTGGGTACACACTTTGCTTCTGGTACTTTTTGACGTGGCCAAGTTCTCCCTGTGTTCTCATTTCTCACTCATCTCCAGTTCGCTCTGTGTGTATCCCTGTGTCTCAGCCCGGCCTGCATGGGGGCAGAGCCGTGTCTGCCTGGGAGAGTGCCGGGCTGGGCGCACTCACTGCTGGACAGGAGTATTGTCTCCCTTGCTTTATCCCCGCTCCGAGCCTGACTTCGAAGGGAGGGGTTGCCTTTTTCCTAGAAAAATGTCGGAGGCTCGCTCCTTAAATGAAGCTCTGGGGCAGCCCAGGAGGCCGATTCCCTTCCTCCCCCTCCGTGTTCAAATCCAAATGCTCCGCAGGGTCATCTGAAAGCAGCAGAGGCGATGTGCGGGGCCAGAGTGACCTACCGTGCTTCCCCGAAAATAAGACCTAGCGCATGGAAAGATAAGACATCCCCTGAAAATAAGACCTAGCGCAACCTTGGAAGAAAAAATTAATATAAGACACTGTCTTATTTTCGGGGAAACAGGGTATTACCTTATTCCGACGGCAAGAACCCAGGTCCTGAGGGGCGGAACCCTGACCTTAGACTCCACCTCAGAGCCCGGCAGGCCCAGAACGCACTGGCCCGGCCTTCGTCCCGCCCTCCGCGGGCTCCGGGCCAGCAGCTTTGCCGGCGAGAACCGCCTCCCCGGACTGTTTCAGTCCGCCCGTCACCCGCGCCAGGAGGACGGGCACCGGCGTCGCCCAGGTTCACCGGGCCCTCTGGGAACCAGCCTCCGTCAGCCGTGGCCATGGCCTCAGAGACCGAGGGCTCAGCGCTTGTTCAGGATTCTGAACAGGTGTTGGCAGGTAGGGCGAGAGAGCTTCTTCCAGAGAATGGCCACACAGGCCCCAGGTAAAACTGGGAGAGCAACCAGCACTCAGGACAGAGGACGGTGCCTAACAATTTATGAAACTGCCTGGCTGGCATGGCTCGGTGGTTGAGCTTCGACCTATGAATCAGAAGGTCACGGTTCAATTCCCAGTCAGGGCACATGCCCGGGTTGTGGGCTCGATCCCCAGTGGGGGGCATGCAGGAGGCAGCCATTCAGTGATTCTCTCCCATTGTTGATGTTTCTCTCTCTCCCTTTCTCTCTGAAGTCCATTTCTTTAAAAAAAAAAAAAATCATAAAATTTGTGACAGCCATCCAGTAAGAAACATCCAGGTTTGAAAATGCGACCAGAACCTGACTGTGTCTCCCTGTCTGCCTTCCCACTGTAACCACTGCCCCTGCCTCTCGCCCAGACTCAGCCTGTGGCCAGCTTTCGTCCTGTGCCTCGTTCCCTCATCAGCTTCCAGCTGTTGTTGCTCGTGCGTCTTCATGTACAGAGCATCTCAGACTCGAGAACACCGAGAAGGAAGTGAGTGAAGGAGGAAAGAGGTGTGGACTCCACTGCACTCCATCAGGGAAAGACGGGCAGGGGGGCTGGGTGGGTCTCGCTGGGCCCCGCCGCCCTTGGTGAGGTCACAGCCGGCACTCATGGAGGTCACACTCCGCCCTGTGCAGGAAGGGGCACGCAGTCCCTGCAGGCGTCTGCCAGCGGCCTGGGGAGCCGGGGGCTGCTGCACCTGGTTCTTGTCACCTCGGTGCCTGCAGACCCACACCTCCGGCTGGTTGCTCGTGGGGAGTCAGTCATCTTCCGGTTGTCTCCGCCATGGCGTGGAGATGTCAAGCCCTGTGTTCCGCCAGTGGTTGGTCACAGGCAGGGAAGTTGCTCTCTTGATTTATTACCCTGTCGGGAATCTCCCGGGAGCCCCCGGATGTCGGCGGGAGCGTGTGGTGAATGGCTCGTTGACGGGGTCTGAGTGCCTGTGTGCATCCTGGGAGGGCGGAGCACGTGAGGGAATGCACCCCGACCCCCGGGGCCGGAGTTACAGACAGACGCCGGGGAGTAGCTGGGGGGCCCGGTGTAAGCAGCGCTGCAGTAGGGAGACGCTTGCCCTATTGAACGGTTCCTGCGGCACATTTTCATAAATGTGTGATTTTCCTGGCTCTCCCGGCAAGTGAATTCCCGTGCAGTTGCCCTGGTGCGACACGGTGAAGATCCTCAGCCGAAGCCAGTGGTTTCATTTAAACTGGTGTTGACAGGAGGGACCATGCCAGAAACTGCTGTCCCCATCCTGATGAGGATTCTTCCTGTTTTGATGAGCCAACCCCAAAAGAAAGTTTATTTATTACTGTCTCTTCCAAATAACATATATAAGGGAGCTGACATTGGTAAAACGGTAGCTAACAACTCTGTTATTAAGCTAAACGTAGATACTGTTCATTCCTCTGACTGTAGCCCCTTAAAAAAAAACCTTGAAGTCGCTGTATGTGGTGAGAATAAATACTAGTAACTGGTCATTGATAAAGAGTTCGCTGCTGCGCTTATTATGAACAATCCTGGAGCTGGCTTAGCGAGGCCCATGCTGAGAAAGTTCTGTTTGGTCGTCACAGGGAACTACCTCAGGGCGGATTTGCCCCCAAACTCGGCTGTGGCACTGAGGCTACCCACCAGCACTCCTCTCTCTCTCAGTGAACAGAGAACCAGTCCTAGGACCTGCCCACCAACCCCTTTTCCTGAGCCAGTGTCCCCTCTCCCACACCGAGGAGAGGGGACACTGGCAAAGCCTAACAAAGGTTTGTTGACTCAGCCTAACACACAGGACTGAGCACTGCCTGTGACCACGGTCACAGTTCCCGGGCGGACCAGGCGGGCGACAGGTCCGAGGCTGCAGCCCCTGCCAGGGATGATGCCACCAGCTCATCCTGAGCTGCCATCGGGCAAGGAAAATTTGCTCCCTGTTTATGGAATGTTCTGGGGAAATGCCCAAAGCTCACAGCTGGCAGTGCAGTCCCCCTCCCCGGGAGGAGGAATCAACATGCCGAGCTTGCTTGAGGGCGAAAGCAAGTGTTTCACACCTCCTGCCTGCTGTGATGGCTAAAAATAAAAGGAGCCCTGCATCGGCCACTTCATCAGCACCGCCTGGGAGCCCGGCACACCAGCGCGGGCACGCAGCGGCCTGCTGCACTCCCCACCGGCCTCACCCTCCAGGGTATCCGGACCCAGCCTCCCGGACCCGGAGTTCCGAACAGTCCTGTGCCTGCGGGAGGCGGCCGTCTCCTTCAAATAAAGAGGTCGGTGTTTTGTGTGAACAGCTCCCGATGTCCCCATCTGGAAGTAATTTCTCGGTGCATATTGGCGCATGAAATACTGCCGTTAATTAAAGCATTGCTGGATGTCATTTGCTAGGATGTATTTCCTCACTGTTGACAGGAAACAGAATGGGCCATAGGAAAGAATTAGCAGGCTCGTGAACCCGGGGCTCCCTCCGGGCGCCTGCCCTTCTCCCCGGCAAGGCTGCGCCCCTGCCCGACACCTCCGGGAGCCGCGCACGGAACGCGCTGCCCGGCGAGGTGCGGCGGCGGGAACCCGTGACGGAGCACATGCTCGGCTGCTGGTTTGGAAACCTTGCGCGCTGAGTTCCTACCCTGCCGCCTCAATCCGCGGGACGGCCGGGGGTTTCTCCTGCAGCAGCACGCCCATCCGCCGCCTCCATGACCGGAGGGCAGTGGCTTCGGGGGAGGCTGGCGTGTCTCCCAGCCGCGGGGTCTTGCAGCGCTTCCATTAGGCTGGCTTCGAGAGCATTCCGTAGTCTCCATCCTGGCTTTTCAGCAGCTCCACTCTCATCCCCCACCCCCGCTTTAATAGGGGAGCCAGGGTTCAACAGGGCGGGAAAAGAAACACTTCAGCCGAAGCCGGTGTGGCCCAGTGGACAGAGCGTCGGCCTGCGGACTGAAAGGTCCGAGGTTCGATTCCGGTCAAGAGCATGTACCTTGGTTGTGGGCACATCTCCTTTGGGGGGTGTGCAGGAGGCGGCTGATTGATGATTCTCTCTCATCGATGTTTCTAGCTCTCTATTTCCCTCTCTGTAAAAAATCAATAAAATATATTTTTTTAAAAAAAGGAAACACGTCGGATGAACCGCCTCCTGGCAGAAGAGCAATGCAAGGTGGTTTACCTGCGAGGTTCCCTCCTCGCCTGGTCACCGGTGGCAAATGAAGAATGTGTCCGTTGGAGACGGAAGACGCCCAGGGAACACCTGCTGTCCAGGTCCGGTGCCGGCATTTTGATGTTGCTCCCGTCCTTGACCCTGTGAGCCTCGGGTTTCTAGCTCTGTGAAGGTGATTGTAACCACTGAGCTGCGGTGCTCACACAAGACCAGGCTGTGTGCACATGCTCTGCACGCCGTGGAGCCATTGTCACCGGCCAAGCCTGGACCACAAGCCGCCGGCGGGACCGGGCGGGCGGGTACAGCGCCGGTGGCCGGCGGGCAAGTGACCACAGACCGGCTGCTGGGTGCAGGCTGCCTGCGCGGCGAGCCTCGCCTCGGAACAGCCGGTCTTTGCCTTTTTAGGTCATGACGGCGATGCCCAACGTGCTGGAGAGCTCCGAGGCTCTCCATCCTCTGCTCCCCTTGCCCTCCAGCTGTGACTTCCGTAGCATTTGGGGACAAACCTGCGGGCGCAGGGAGA